ACTCCCCACCTGTGATTGTCTTTCAATTTCATTACCTGTGTTTTTCTGGTGTTTAGCTCCATATTTTTACATAAAATGATTATTCTAGAAATTGAATAATCATTTCTAGGTTTTTTTTTCTGTTTACTTTTTAATCGATTGGAATAAGGATTTAGCCTGCAAATACCTTGTCATCCCACCATAGTTATGTCAGATGTTATTCAGAAATTAATTATGTTCGGAAGGAAAGATTTTATTGATTCTAAAACATTGTTGAAGTGCAGTATTTTAGAAAATAAGAAGCTGAGTTTTCATAATGTGTTGCCAGGAACTGTACTAAAAGCAAATAGTAGAGCCAGTAGGTGTTTATATGTATAATTTTAAGAGGATAACAATATTAACAATTTTGATTTAACTACAACATTAAAAGAGCACCTGAGAAAAGTCTTCATTTGCTTTTATCTTGCAGTCGTCACTGAGTGAGTTTTGTTGTTTTTAAACCCTAGTCAATTAGTCTTAATCACCAAACATTTTATAGAAGCAGGGGTGAAAGTTTACTTGAAAGAACAAAAGTGCTAAAGACAGACTGTTCTGAGAAGCATAGATTTACATGAAAAACTTCACAAGGGAGAAATAGTAATTGCCTCAGCCTGAGAGGTGGGGCATATTTTAAGATAATTGGAGAATGTCTTTTATGTGTTCTCTTTGGTTTAGTTTTGATTTCATGTAGTTTAATTTGTTTCTATCCCTTTTTCTCTTAATGTATTTTAAAGAATGTAATGCACTTCTGAGGATCTCATTACTAGTTGTGAAATTACCTTCTTCTGTACCATTGGATGTAATTGTTTTGTCAGTCTTACAAGAAAAAAGTATATTAGAACAGGCTGTTACATTTTAGCAATCTGACATTAGTGGAAACCCTAAAAGTAGATTTTGTGTAAGTTCAAATACATTGTAACAATTTTGCTTAGGTGAATATTTTAAAGTTATTTCGTTTTTTGCATATTTAAGTTCTACAGAAATCATCTGTTTGCCTCTGTTCATGATTTTCATCATCCATATTTGTAAAATTTACATTTTCACTTCTAATTTAGCTTAAATTCTGTTAGTTAGTCATTCCCTTGACAAATGTGGTCAGAAGTGGTCTAAGTGAAGATGTTCCATTATGTGGCAAACACCTTAGGTTACAAATGCAACTTTTGCTTCTCTTTGCAAAGGCACTGAGACGTGAATTAAAGGAGAAAGAATATTCTGTCTTGAATGCTGTAGACCAAGCTCGAGTTTTTCTTGCTGATCAGCCAATTGAGGCCCCTGAAGAACCAAGAAGAAACCTACAATCAAAAACAGGTGAGCCTGGTTTCTTTAATACATCATAAAAAACACGTTAGGAGAAAAAAAAAAAAAAAAAAAAAAAAAAAAAAAAAACCCGTTGGGAAAAAAAAAAAAAAAGGGGGGCCTGGTTTCTTTAATACATCATAAAAAACATGTTAGGAGAAAAAAAAAAAAAAAAGAAAAGAAAAACCATAATCAAGCAGGAAATTTCTTTGCAGCATTTCAGAATCTAATATTTAAAACTTTTCTGCTACGTATTGCTGTCATCAAATATGTCATTATTTAACAAATATCTAGATTCTTAAGTCAATAAAAGGAAATTGCTGTCTACTTCTATATGATCATTTTAAGAGGAAATTTACTACAGAAAAAATGGATTTACCTAAGAAAAAACTGTAACTGTAAAAATAATTTATCTAAGAAATAAAAATTTATATTTTTTATATTTAAAGAAATTACATGAATAATTGCAAGTAGAAGAAAGTTATTAAAAACACAATAGTAAATAGGTAAAATATTTAGGTACCTCTAAAGTAAGATTTTTTGTAAACTTCTGTTTTTCAAGTTTGCTTTTGAGAATGAGACAGTAAAGTACCTTTGTTGTACAAGCACTTATTTAAGTTAAAAATAACAACTTATAGCATTTATGTACCTCTGTTTAAAATTGAAACAGTAACTGCCTTACTAGCAGATAGCAATGTATCAGATAATAAACATAAGAGGAAATTTGTAATGAATTTTTGGTCTGATATATATATATCTTTATTATGACTTTTCACTGTTTACAACACAAGCATTTTGATGTATTTTTAAAAATAAACATGCCATTTAAAATATTTTTCCATCATTCACTTTACATAGTAAAAGCAAACCTGAAAGACTGCTCTGTGCTGTGTCCAGCAGTGTAAATCATGGGCATTTATTACTTGTAAAGGAAGCACAGTTGGAAAAAGTGTTCTTTGACTGTAGGTGCAACTGGATCAGACATTTGCACGTGTAGCCGTTGTGCTACTGAGCCTTTCTCAAGGAAGCTCTTCTTCAGTCTGAATAAATTTCTCATCAAGGCCAAGATTTTCTTGACCCTTTGAACCTAGTTGTATATGCACATAGAGCACACTTATCTTTCCTAGCATTAGTTTTTATTTTCCGCCACTGGTATCACTATCTTTCCAGTTAGTCTGCTAGGAACCTGAGTCATTGTTGAGTATTCCATCTTTCATCAAACCCCACAGTCTGCAAATCAGTCATAATTGTCATTTCTATTTTTGAAGAATTATTCCATCTCAGTATTCTGTTATATGTATTATTTATACACACACATACATATACACATACACACAATGTACACACATATGTGCACACACACACTGCCATTAATTCCAGATTCCCAGCCTTTTGTGTATACTCTTGGAATCATTTTAGGCCTTCTCAGTTGCTACTTTTGGTGGCACTTGTCACATTACACTGTTCTGTCCCCTGTGCGCAGCGCAGTATATGCTCATATATTCTCTTTCCTCCACTTTAGTCTGTTCCTGAGTGAATCTTACCATAGAATCATATTCATGTTCCTACCATGATTAAACACCCTCACTGACTTTCCATTGCATAATGGAAAAAATTGTTGGCTCTAGAATGATATTTAAGAATCTTTGTAATCAAAGCCCTTCTGATTTTTCAACCTACTTTTTGCTACCATTTTCATAGTTCTATAACTAGTGTGTGCTATCTCCTTCCTCGAATGTTCTTGGAACTGTCTTGTTATGGCTGTGATGCATTCTCTTCTTCTATCTTTTGAATTCTTTTCAAAAAAATATTTTAAGACTTGCTTACATCCTAAACATAGAATATTAGTATGGGTAGGAGCCTTAGCAATGAAGCAGTCCAAACCTACTCACTGTACAGATGAGAAAACTGGGGTCCACAGAGGGAAGGTGACCTGCTCAGGTTCCAACCCAGTCCTGTTTGATACCTAACATGTTCTGCCTTTATCTGTTTCAGATGTCAGAATCTCTTACTTGCCCTGAGTTGAGGAATCCAGTTTTAAATACTTTGTATCCTATACAATGGCTTATATATATCAGGCACTCAGTAAAAAGTTTGATGAAGAATACATGACTGCCTGTACAAATGAATGATATAAGGAAGTTATCTTATTTACTGTTCTGACTTTACATACAAACTGTTGCAGGAACATTTTTATGAGCAAGTGGTTAACAGTGATTTCTCCCCACCACCACCACCAAATTTAAAAACTAAGAAAAGGAACCGAAATTATGGATTTCTTTGGAAGGGTTGAACCCATCAGAACTTGCTTTTCCTCACAGTCTTGAGTCCATCAACAATGACTATAGAGGGAGACACTGACATGATAAGCAGTGGAGATGGGTAATTGGATGATCAATGTTTGAGATGAAATGGAACTTTTACCCCAGCTTTTCTAGAATAAATGATCAACACTTATGGAGTTCCTTTCCTGTATCTCTCCACAAACTCCTGCCGTCTCTGCCACCCTGCACCTGTTCTTCAGTCTTTGCATCTTTGCTTCCTGCAACTCTGTCCTCTGGGTTGCTCAGGCCAAAATCCTTAGGGCCACTATTAGCTCCTTTGTTCTTTTGTCACCCAAATCCACTCCATCAGCAAATCCTGTCATTGCTACATTCAAGATACACCCAGATTCTGATCCTTTATCACCACTTCCACTACCACCTCCTGGTCTAAGCCACCACCTCTCCCTTGGATTGCAGGTTCATTCACCTCATCTCCCTGCTCTGTATTAGTCCGTTTTGTGTTGCTATAACAGAATTACTGAGACTGGGTAATTTATAAAGAAGAGAGGCTTATTAGGCTTACAATTCTGGGACAGCTGCATCTGGCATGGGCCTCAGGCTCCTTCTACTCATGGCGGAAAGTGGCAGGCAGCCGGTGGGTACAAGCAGATCACATGGCGAGAGGAAGCAAGAGAGAGAGAGGAGGTGCCGGAGTCTCACGGGAACTAATAGAGCGAGAACTCACTCACTAGCCCTCTTCCCCCAGGGAGAGCATTAATCCATTCATGAGGGATCTGCCCCCATGACTCAATCAGTTTCCAACACTGCCACATTGGGGATCAAATTTCCACATGAGTTTTGGAGGGGACAACACATCCAAACTCCATCACCCTCTTAGGAGAGTTTCCCAACACACAGCCATAATGGGCATTTGAAGATATAGGTCGTGTCACGTCTCTTCTCTGCTGCAAACCTCCGAGGGCTCCTCCCCTCTCTCAGAGACATCAAACTGCTTATAATGGTCAGCTGCCTCCTTGTTCCATCTCTGTCCTGCTTGCCATTGCTCTCCCTCTTGTTTGTCTCTGCACTGCTGCCGTCCTGGCCTTCCTGCCGTTCTTGGGTGGCCCAGCTGTGCTCTCATGCATAGGCCTTTGTGCTTTCCATCCCCTCTGCCTGGTGCTCTCTCTCTCTCCTCCTCAGGGCTTTGTCCAGGTGACATCTCCTGAGTTAGGCTTCCAGGGGCATCCGCCACTCCCTGTCTCCTTTTTCTACCTTTCCCAGTATTTTTTATCCAATCTGCCCTACATTTTACAGTGGCATTCATTGGAGATTTTCTTTTTATGGTGGCAGCAGGATTACTAAAAGCATCGAAGTTCATTGCAGTCTTCTATGCTACCTGGGATAATATTGGAGACTCCCTATTCCAGGAAATAAATTTTTTGCCTGCTGTTTCTTTCATGGTAGCCAAGTTGAGCGGGCCACTTTGGATAAGGTCACTGGGATTGTGTGTAGGACCCTGCACCCTCAAGAGAGATACTGGTGTGCTCTACAGCTGCTCAGCTGGAGTGGGCCACTCTGGGCAAAGTCACTGGGACTGTGGACTAGACAGCAGATTTGATTCTTGGCTCTGCCACTTACTAGCTGGGTGATCCGATTTTTAATCTCTTTCTAATTCACTTTTCTCCTCTGTAAAATGGGGAGAATAGTTTCTATGTTTTAAGTTTGCTGTGAGGATTAATTGATTTAATACTTGTAAACATATAGTTGTGTATATGTGAATAAGCAAACACAACTTTATATAGTTATGTATGGATGTATCTATGATTAATGGTTAATAATAATCATCT